CCTGTATACGTTATTAAAGTTAAAAAGAGAAACTTTGTTTTTCATTTTGGGCCACCCTACTTCAGTGGGATATGGCCGGTTTGTTGAAAGAAGATTTTTTATCACACTTGCTGTCTCCCACCAAGGTAAGGTGACCCAAAAAAGAAATAGTTTCACCATCATTCACTCCATCACTCTTGCCAGAGATGTGTAGATACTACAGTTCAGATGCCCTTCCAAAACTGCAAATATCCCCACCCTCCTTTAGAGTGCAGGCACTGTACTTTACACCTCCATGGTTTTCCTGAATTCCTTCACGAAATGTTACCTTGCTCACACTCCAACAGCTCATCAAGTCCCAAAAACCATTTGCCTTTACACCTGTTTAACATGCTCATGCATGTCTCCTTGATGTCCAAGCCCCTTGCACACACAGCCTCCTTTACCCCCTCCATCATTTCTTAGGGCGACATCTACCCCACCTTCCCTCCACTACAGATTGATACACCCTCCAAGTTGTCCTATTTTCCTCCATCCTCTCTAAATGACCAAACCCCCTTCAATAGCACCTCCTCAGCCCTCTGGATAATACTTTTATAACTCCACACCTCCTCCTAATCTCCTAACTACAAATTCTATGCATAATATTTACACCACACTTTTCCCTCAGACACAATTTCCACTGCCTTCAACCTCCTCCTTGCTGCAAACATTCACAACCCATGGTTCACACCCATGTTAGAGTGTTGGTACCACTATGCTTTCATACGTTTCCCTCTTTGCTTTCATGGATAATGTTCATGTCTCTGCAGATGCCTTGATACACCACCCACGACTTTAATTCATCAGTTGTGTAGTTCACCTCGTCTTTCATATACCCATTTGCTGACAAGTCCACTCCCAGATATCTGAACACGTTCACTTCCTCGATACTCAATCCCTCCAATCTCTTAATACTTAACTTCTTTGTTACCCTCATCACGGTACTGTTTCACATGTTCACTCTCAACTTCCTTTCCTTACACACCCTTCCAAATTCATCCACTAACCTTCGCAACTTCTCTTCAGAATCTCCCAAAAGCAGTGTCAGCAGCAAAAAATAACTGTGATAACTCCCATTTTGATTAGATCCTCATATTTTAATCTCACACCTTTCCACAACAATCTAGCATTCAACTTCATTACAACCTCATATATAATTATATTAAACAAGCGTGCTGATGTCGCACATCCCTGTCTAAGGCCTTCTTTTACTAGAAAGTAATCTCCATCTCTCTCCTATATGCCCCAACCTGAGCCTCACTATCCTTATAAAAACTCTTTAACAGCATTTAATAACATACCACCTGGTATGTTGTGATGAATGGTTTTTCAAACCATTCATCACAACTGCCAGACACTGCTGCATCATGGGATCTTGTTACAAAGAATTCTTCAACACTTGTCCAACCTTTGGACGAAGACCTACTTCGACTAGTGGATGGTACCACTATGACCCCACCTCCTCCTGCTTCGCCTCACCTCACTACAGTATATAAGGCACATCTACGGCCCTATGCTGTACATTCTACAAGATTGATGGACTGAACACATCGACTCCAGGCTGAGGGACTGATTACCTCAAACTCCTCCTCTCTTTACGCCTTTCTACTTTGTATTGGACCATACCCCCAGCTGGGATTGAACCCGCGGTCATAGTCTCAGAACTCCAGCCCGTCGTGTTAGCCACTAGACCAGCTAGCCACAATAAGATTCATCCAACTAGGTATATTTCTACACCATAGGAAGGTTAGCACAGGCACCTCTGTGACCACAAATGCAAGTTTTTACAGATGAATCTCCAGCTAGCATGGCCGTGTTGGATGAATCTTATTGTGGCTAGCTGGTCTAGTGGCTAACGCGACAGGCTGGAGTTTTGAGACTCTATGACCGCGGGTTCAATCCCGGCCGGGGGTATGGTTTGTTTGCAATCGTGTCATTACGATTTCTTGAGTCATGTTGACGGCAGTGAAGGGACTTGAGCAAGAGTTCGTCACGGCCACGCTAGCTGGAGATTCGTCTGTAAAAACTTGCATTTGTGGTCACAGAGGTGCCTGTGCTAACCTTCCTATGGTGTAGAAATATACCTAGTTGGGTGAATCTTATTGTGGCTAGCTGGTCTAGTGGCTAACGCGACGGGCTGAAGTTTTGAGACTCTATGACCACGGGTTCAATCCCGGCCGGGGGTATGGTTTGTTTGCAATCGTGTCATTACGATTTCTTGAGTCTTGTATTGGACTGATGAAGCCACTGTGTGGCGAAACGTTTCCTGAATAAAGATTCCCATATGTTGCATAAGTGTCTCAATCTTCAACTTGTCAGTTTTTCAAACCATTCATCACAACATACCACCTGTCCCATACACTTGCAACATCTGCCACATTGTTTCCTTATCCCTCCTGTCATATGTCTTTTCTAAATGCATGACAACAACAAAAATTTTCTTACCTTTATCTAAATATTGTTCACTTATGTTTCACTGTAAACACACTGTCTACACATCGCCCACCCATTCTGAAGACTCCTCGTTAATCTATGATCCTGTTCTATGTCTTGCCCTTAATTCTTTCAGTAATAATTCTACCATACACTTTACTTGGTATACTCAGTAGGTTTATTCCCTTATAATTTTTACTCTCATGTTCCCCTTCCCTTTATACAAAAGAACTATGCATGCTTTCTGCCAGTCCCTAGCTGCCTTTCCCTCTTTCATATACATATTGAACAAAAGTACCAACCACTCCAAAACTAGATCCCCACCTGCTTTTAACTTTTGTCATGATCCCATCAATCCCAGCTGCTTTACCCCCTTTTATTTTATCAACAGCCTCAAGCACCTCCACCATTCTCCTATCTGGCTCTTCCTCACTTCTAAAGGAAGTTATACCTCTCTGGCCAATGCATGAAATCACTGCTTCCCTTCATGAACATAAAATATTTCCTCAAAATGTTCCCACCATCTTCCCAATACTTCCAACTCCCCATATACTAGCTCCCTTGTTTTGTTCTTGACTCGGATTCGTTCATTCCCTAGGCTTTCTCGAGCTATTTATCTCACTCCAAAACTGTGTCTTATTCTCAGCAAAATTTGTTGACAGAACCTCACCGAGTCTCATTTGCTCTCCTCCTACACTACCTCACCACTCACTCTCTTTTACTCTTCATATACTCCACCCTTCTTATATCACTTCTGTTTTTACAAAACCTTTTGTATGCTAACTTTTTCTTCTTTACCACTCCCTTAACCTCATTCCACCAATCACTCCTCTTTCCTCCTGCACTCACCCTCCTATATCCACAAAATTCTGCTGTATTTTTAAAACTGCCCTAATCCTCTTTAACCTCTTCATTACCTATACTCTCACTAGCCCATTTTTCTCCCAATAGTTGCTTATATCTTACCCTAACCACCATCACCTTTTAGCTCATGAACTTTCGCCTTTCTCTTACTGCTGATGCCATTTTCCTTCTGCACCATCTACCTTTATTCTCACTGTAGTTTTTTTTTTTTTTTTTTTCAACAAGTCGGCCGTCTCCCACCGAGGCAGGGTGACCCAAAAAAGAAAGAAAATCCCCAAAAAGAAAATACTTTCATCATCATTCAACACTTTCACCACACTCACACATTATCACTGCTTTTGCAGAGGTGCTCAGAATACAACAGTTTAGAAGCATATACGTATAAAGATACACAACATATCCCTCCAAACTGCCAATATCCCAAACCTCTCCTTTAAAGTGCAGGCATTGTACTTCCCATTTCCAGGACTCAAGTCCGACTATATGAAAATAACCGGTTTCCCTGAATCCCTTCACTAAATATTACCCTGCTCACACTCCAACAGATCGTCAGGTCCCAAGTATCATTCGCCTCCATTCACTCCTATCTAACACGCTCATGCACGCTTGCTGGAAATCCAAGCCCCTAGCCCACAAAATCTCCTTTACCCCCTCTTTCCAACCCTTTCGAGGACGACCCCTACCCCTCCTTCCTTCCCCTATAGATTTATATGCTTTCCATGTCATTCTACTTTGATTCATTCTCTCTAAATGACCAAACCACCTCAACAACCCCTCTTCTGCCCTCTGACTAATGCTTTTATTAACTCCACACCTTCTCCTAATTTCCACACTCCAAATTTTCTGCATAATATTTACACCACACATTGCCCTTAGACAGGACATCTCCACTGCCTCCAACCGTCTCCTCGCTGCTGCATTTACCACCCAAGCTTCACATCCATATAAGAGTGTTGGTATCTACTATACTTTCATACATTCCCTTCTTTGCCTCCATAGATAACGTTTTTTGACTCCACATATACCTCAACGCACCACTCACCTTTTTTCCCTCATCAATTCTATGATTAACCTCATCCTTCATAAATCCATCCGCCGACACGTCAACTCCCAAGTATCTGAAAACATTCACTTCTTCCATACTCCTCCTCCCCAATTTGATATCCAATTTTTCTTTATCTAAATCATTTGATACCCTCATCACCTTACTCTTTTCTATGTTCACTTTCAACTTTCTACCTTTACACACATTCTCAAACTCATCCACTAGCCTTTGCAATTTTTCTGTAGTTATAACCAAATAATGATTAGATACATCTGTTGCCCCTCTATACACATGCGCATCCAGAAGTCTACCCATCAACCTTTAATCCACCAATACGTAAACCAACAAACTATTGTAATATGCCTTGTATTCATATCTCGTATACTTCCTTATCCTTTTTGTCTTAAAATATGTCCTAATTATTACCAAGCCTCTTTCTATACACAGATCAATTAAAGGCCCCCATTATCATTTACCCCTGGCACTCCAAACTTACTATGCCCTTGACAACAGTTTCTCCCACTTTAGCACTAGGTTTTCTACCACAGTTACTCTATCACTTGGGTCAAAACTCCCTATCAACATAAGCATTCTCATTTGTAAAGAATGCTTTAATGAATGTGTCTTTTTGTTTCAGGGTCTCGGGGAGAACATCAAGTCAAGCACACAACCAAAAGAAGTAAAGGCATTGGAAGGTGCTCATGTGATGCAAGTCTCATGTGGCATGGGACACACAGTAATGTTAGTACGTGATGACACAGACAAAGACAAAGAGATTTTGGAGAAACTGAAAGAAATCACACTGTAAAGGAACTACTTTTTCAACAAGATTGAAAAGAGGTTGCAAGCATAACATTAGGTGGATAAAAGATATCTTCATTAGAAGGTACAAGATTTCTTTTTCCTTTTTTGATTATTTCTATTTATTTTAATTTTTTAGGGCATTTCATAACATATTCTTATATCTTTTGTAGTTTTTGTATTGGGAAATGTTGACATCCAGAATATTTTAATTTTGTAAAGTTTTTATATGAAGATGATACAAATGGAAATCAAGACAACTCAGGACAGTGCTTTTGTGCTGTATTGGGCATACAGGTATTTTATTTTCCTTCCTATGCAGTACTCTGGGAAAATTTCCTGATATTAGTTAGTTCTTATGCTCAGCTGCAAATTAAGAATTAGGGTGATCCTCTTTTCAGACGATGGAGAACTTGATCTTTTATGTCATGGAGGACACACAAGGTTAATTTTGTTCTGTTACTTCAAGCAAGCTTTTCCAACTTTTGGAAATGGCATGTCTTGTTAATTATTCTGAAACTTAATAACCTAGAAAAGTAATATCCACTAAAATCAGGAAATATCCCAAAATACGGGCAGTATTGCAGTACATCCATCACCCAAGTAACTTTCCAAAGATTTTATTTTTCCTTTAATCCTTAAACTGGGCATGTTACATACCTCTGCTGTAAGCATTTTTCTTATAGGATTGTTGAGCTTTTGAAACATTATTTATAAACAGAAGTATTTGTAACAAATATGAATTCATTGTCATTCTCTGAAGTAAAGGTCTTTTTATCCAAATGCCCAATGAAACAGGTTGACATTCTTTTGTAGCACTAAAATATGTATTACTGTATGGCAAAAATTCAAAAGTTTCTTGAAACTTTGAAGTCAAACACACCTTTCAGAAAACAGGAAAATGTTTGGCAAGAGCTTTTCAAAATCACTAAAGTATTCATCAGTACCATGGAAAAATAGCATGAAGATTGCAAATTTCAAACTTAACTAAGGTTGACACTTGAGGCATTTCCTTTTTTCTGAATATTTCTGTAATATTGCAAAAAACTATTTGAAATATCCTAAGGTGCTGGATGACCTTTGAGCTTAGTGCTTCCCCATGAACATGATAATCATTATTTTATATTTCACTACATGGTAGCTCAGGAAGCAAGTTGATGCAAAACAAACAAACAAACAAAAAAAAAATCAGCTCACCATTGATAGGATCCCAAATGACTGCCTGATTTACAAACATTTTACTTACATTTTAATTGTTGTTTTATACGGTTGTAATGTATGTTGTACATAACACCGCTGGTATCATTGTCATAGCTGTCTGGAGTACTGTTATTCAGTAATTCCAGTGCTTTCTTCCAAAGCAATTGAGTCCTCAGTGTGACTACTAAATTGCCACTAAACAATATCTCTTGTGGTGTCAAGTACCCAAAAGAATTTTTTGGCTTGGTGTTAATGGAGACTTAATAGCTGAGGTGCTTGTTTGATTCAGATTATCACTTTGCCCTTTATTTGAACCCCCAACGATTTATGTTTGTGTATGATGTGCCCAGTTTCCCCACACCAAAGTACTCATGCCATGCCCAGTTTAAGGGTTAGAAATGCAACTGTTGTCTCCATTAGTGAACATGGGAAAAATAAGGTTGACCCTGCTGCTATCACTGTACAACATGGCAGAATGCTTTGCCACAGTCCTAATAAAGTGTTCATTGTTCCATGAAACCATTCTAGGTAGCTACCTCTTCTATCTCATGCTAGATAAAGGTTCATTCAATAGGTTTTTAGATCTGTCATTCAGATATTTCTACTCTTAAGGATTTATGTAAATCTGTTAGTTAACAATGCATTAACCTCCCAAAGTGAAAATGGGTAAATCATAATTACAAGAGCAATTCAGATAGGACTTCTTTTTGTTCATAAGTGAGCTTGTGTATAATATAAGGTGTATAAATCTGGGCTGGAAGGTAGACAGGGAAGGGCTCCCAGGGATGGTGGAGAGAGGGGATACAAGAGGCTTTTGAGTTTTAGGGGCATGGGCATCCAGCAGATTATGTGAGCATGTTAGGAGTGAATGAAAACAAATGGTTTTTAATAGATGTACTGTTGGAATGTGAGGAAGGTAATTTAAATGAAGGGATTCAAGGAAATTTGTTAGCTGGACTTGAGTCCTGGAGGTGGAAAGGGCATTTGAATTCACAGTGTACCTCCCTCCCATTGCCTGGAAATTAATGTGTGGTGACCAGAACTACTCTGTTATGACCTCATGAGAATGAATTGATGGCTTGATCCCATTTGTGCTACTTCACCCATGTTGATAAATTAGACACATGTGCAACTCTTGGGTATCTTTATTGAGGAAACGTTTCGCCACACAGTGGCTTCATCAGTCCATACTTAGGAGAAACTTGAAGAACAGGAGGAGAATGAGGTAATCAGTCCCTCAACCTTGAGTCGATGTGTTCAGTCCATCAATCTTGAATAGATGGTATTCTATTCAAGATTGATGGACTGAACACATCGACTCAAGGTTGAGGGACTGATTACCTCATTCTCCTCCTGTTCTTCAAGTTTCTCCTAAGTATGGACTGATGAAGCCACTGTGTGGCGAAACGTTTCCTCAATAAAGATACCCAAGAGTTGCACATGTGTCTAATTTATCAACATGTCGGTTCTCTGAACCATTCATCTACAAATACTTCACCCATGTTGATATACATTTTTTTATACATAATATATAATACACATTTCCAGGAACTTAGAAGCAAGCAGAGACAGGTTCAAATACTCATACGTCCTCTCCTACCATGATTGAACTTTGTGTTTACTGGAGTAGAAATTAGGTATTCTATGTTCTCAGCCACAATACCAAGTATGTTGAGAGAATTTTTATTCCTATAGCATTAGAGGTACAGACAACAAGGGAAACATTGAAAATGCTTGTGGGAATAAACAAATTGAACAAATACACTGAAGCAGAACTAGTACAAGGGGAGACACATGAAAGCTAAACCACCAAAGAGATGTGAGAAGGAACATGATGAGTGTTAGGACTGTGAGCAAGTAGATTGCCTTAGGAGAGGAGGCAGTGGAACCATACTCTGATACTGTATATGGATTTTAATGTAAATATGAAGAAGCTCCTGGGGATAGTGATGCAGTCACCCTAATAATGCATCCATCCACCCTTCCTTGTAACTGCAATCACACACATGTATGTGCATACACACAAAGGCCCATACATACACAAACCCCCCCCTCACACACAGACCCCTCTTGACATACAAACCCCTTCCCCACACTCAAACCCCTCCCCCCACACAGAGTACTCCACATACAAACATGCACCTCAACCATACACTACACACCAGAAGCATGCACCTCAGACACATACCAGAAACATGCATCTCAACAACACACACTACACAAACGTGCACCTCAGACATACACACTATAAACATGCCCACACATACATATATAGTTATATATCAAAATGTTGTATTATCAATGATCACAGTATGATGATAGAATGATTTACCAAGTTCCTATAATTAGTACTGACTCTTCCTATTCTGAGCAGTAAGAGTCAGTTTGACAGGTCACAAGGCTGTCCAACAGAAGTGTGTTGGCAGGCCAGTTGCAGAGTTGTTTTACAATGCTTCCAGTACCACACCCTTTTTGAATTTGAATTATTTTTAGAGCCACAGTTTTGAAAATATATGAAACACTCAACTATGTCATTTAAACCATGTAACATGCATGAACATAGCAAATTATTGTAATCTTTGCTGTTCCTTTGATAATGGATTATTTCTTTGTTGTCCTTACCACTTGTGTTTGTTCTTCTCACCTTCCCCCATCTGTTCTCTATGTACCTTCTTCCTTGCCCCCCTTCCCTTTCACACTTTTTACCTTCATTCCTATTACATCACTTGTTATCCCTTATCACTCTTCCCTTCCCTTCTTGCCAACTCTTTGTTCCCTCTTCTCTTACCCTTCTTACCCCTCTTGCCCCCTTCCTCTTACTTCTCCATTCTTTCCCTCTTCTCTCTCTCCCTTCTCTACCCCATTTCTCTCCTTCCCTTGCTGTTCCCTCCCCCCCCCCTCCCACCACTCCTTGTTTGCCTTTCTATCCCCTGCCTCTCCTCTCTGTCTATCCTTCCTGTCTTATTTTCTCCCCCCCCCCCCTTCCTCTTCACACTCTCTTTCCCCTCTTTCCAAAAATCATCTTTCTTTTCTCCTGTCTTTCTCTACCCACCACTTTCCTTCTCATCTTCCAATGCATTTTCTATCTTTTTTAATCTTGATTTTGTTTTATTTCTTACTTTTACCTTCCTCCCCATTAGATCATTCATTTGGTAAGATTTAAAAAATGTTTCATTTTGAATTTCCTTAAAGAATATACTAGTATGTGACCCTCTTGAGGATATAGTTATACAGGTCTTAAAATGTATTTGAAGAAACTACAATTTTCTTTATTATTCATATGTATTTAGAACTTTCTGAATGCTTGTTACTTTAGCAACCGAAACACCAAGTCTTGGCTTTTATTTGTTTTTTCAAAACAGGAAGCTATGCATGGTATAGTATTACTTGAAGCAGTTTGTATGCTTGGTACAACGTAGGATTACAGTATGTCATTCTAGTATCTGTGACATAAGACTACTGTATGTTGAATGCGTTAACCATCAGGTTTTGTAAGTGGATAAACAAAACCTCCAAAAATACTCCAGGGTTGATGAACAGCATTTGTCAACATTCCTGTTACCCCCAGTTGGGGTTCTTCACCTGATGTCAGCATTGCAGAATGACACGTGGTGCAGAGGAAACCTTTGTTGGCGACAACTTTTCACCCACACAATGGACTTGATCATGTCCCGACTCAATAAAGCCCAATGTGTAGGTGAAAATGCTGGTAATGAAACTTTGATCACCAGGTATCTTTCTACCGTAAGTGTGGGCAGTACCTGCCATTCTACACCATGTCAAGTGTTGTTAGTGCTTTTTTTTCAACAGTATTTTGGATAATGCTTCTTGATAACCCTTTGATATTGTAGTTAAGAGGTAACCTCACCTCTTCCTGTATCATGATTTTCTTACGAGATAAAGGAGACATTGTATTGTAAACACATTCCAGTTAGATTGCAACATATATCCCTCTGGTAATTATCATACCTTTTTCTCTTATCAAATATATTCATGAGCTCTACTTGATAAACTGTGAAAGATAATTGAATTTTTTTTTTTAATTAATTGTTGATCCCTCAGATATAACAACAAAGCTTCAAAGAACTTTGGAAGAATCTTGAATACACAAATAGTTAACTTATACGTAAGTTGATTTACTACCTCAGTTTGTGCGAGAGCTGTACTCTACTGAGGGAGGCAGTTTGCTTATGAGACTCTGGGTATTTACCCTTACAAATACTGGATTCCTTTTGATGTTCAAGGTGCATCTCTTTTATAGCTTTAAACTTTATTATGATGTAAGTAATTTTGTAATATTTTATTGGCCAAGAAATGTTTTTGTTATCTGTATTTAAGTTATAAAATCCCATAGGTCACCTTTAGTTTTAAATCCTATTTAAGCATAGATTTAAAAGTGTATATTAACCTCACAACACTTGGATGTAGAATACTTTTACAAATACGTATGCAACTTGGTGAATCAAAAATACATGGACACAGTAAGGTTTCCTTAATGATGTTTCACTCTTGGTACTTGAAGAAACTCCACGAAGAGCTAGACGTCGTTAAATAAATGACTTACTTTATTTGTGTCTTTGATTTGCCAATTTTTTACAAAGGGAACAGTTTTCCTTATTACAAAAATTACATGTATTAATTTATTAATAGCTAATTCTAGGCCTTTTCGCATTATTCTGCGAATATTATCTTAGAAAGAGATGTAGCCTAGGTATCATAGGAAAATCTAGGAGGTTAGTCCTAAACTCATTGTGTACCTGACTTAAATTAGTTTATCAGTACCATGACTGGGTTAGTAAGTGCCCACAAGGTTTGTAGTGGTGATTGTTAATATTTTGTCCAAACCTTTGTCTTGGCCACAATCAAAGTGCATGTTACACTGCCCTTAAACCTAGACTACTGATGGATTTCTTGAATGTTGAGCAGTTGCAAGCATCTCTCTTAAACTAATAGTTATAAAATTAATAACTTGTCTTTTGCTCAAATTACCAACACAACCCTTTGAGAAATGTCTTAATAATTTTTTTTTCTTTTCTGTCTCGGTAAGAGATAATTTTCTCTTATTTATTTGAATTACTTTAGTACTTAAAATTACTATATGAGTTTATTCATAGAAATCTGTGAAATGAAAAGTGAATGAGAAGAAGCTCTTACCATAACTGTTATTTTATCACTTCAGATTTTCACATTAATTATTCTCAATATTTCTCAAGAAGTAGAAATGTACAAGTGATTCGGTGCTCACACCAGAAATAAAATTTAATTTTTTTTCAAGTAATTAATTGTAGTCATGTCTACCTACATAACATTCATGTTGTCAAAATCATTATCAAATTCTTCCTTTTTGCAACTTGCAGTTTAGTTTGGTCTACATGGCCCTTTAATTCAGAAATACCACTTTAAAAGCAAAAATTAAGCTTATTATACAAAACTGCATATAAGCAATGTACTGTACTCTAGTTTAGTATTCTCTTTACCAGACATGCTAACCCTTAAATTAATAAAATTATGATTGGAATCTACAAAGAAATATGTTTCATTCCATTACAGAAGCAATTAGAGAACCAGTTTTAGAATATAATTACACATGTTCAAAGAGAATTGTTAACTAATTGGCAGTTATGCCATTAGACATTCTCCTTGTGGTTGACTGTAGAAACTGAAGATTTGTATAGAAATATATTGTCATGCAAACTGCTAAAATGTTTGAAATTTAATTTTCCTAAGCTGTTACAGAGAGCAATACTGTTTATTCAGTACAGTTATTAAATTGACAATAAGACAAGGGCTTCCAGTTGCAAAGCAAATCTCAATGTAGAGATGCCAACATAGTTGAGTGTTGTGCAGATTTGTTAGCTTAAACTAGCAATACATTCTTACAGATTTTGTTTGTTTGTTTTTAGTACAAGAATTTTTGCAATGCAACACTATCTGCATTTTAAGTTATAAATGGAGTTTTAGTGCTTATTTTCTGATGTATAGGTAAATCAGAATCATGAGATTAAAGCACTGTGAATGTGTTTTGCAAATGCCCTTTACTTTCCTCACTATAAGAAGTCTTTCTTTCAACACACCGGCCGTATCCCACCGAGGCGGGGTGGCCCAAAAGGAAAAACAAAAGTTTCTCCTTTCACATTTAGTAATATATACAGGAGAAGGGGTTACTAGCCCCTTGCTCCTGGCATTTTAGTCGCCTCTTACAACACGCATAGCTTACGGAGGAAGAATTCTGTTCCACTTCCCCATGGAGATAAGAGGAAATAAACAAGAACAAGAGTTAGTAAGAAAATAGAAGAAAACCAGAGGGGTTGTTATACAAAGCTTGTACAGTATGTTGATGTTGTGCAGATTAGTGTAAGCAAATAGCAATACGTACTGAAACCTTTTGCTTGTTTTTAGTACAAGAAATCAAGCAACCAGCATCCTCATGTGTTAAAAATATTAGGCTTACTGATTAATAAATCAATGCATGAGGATTAATCCACTGGTGATTGTGTTTCCCAATCCCTACTTTCCTCACTATAAGAAGTGTCAATATATAATAACCCTTTCAGGGTCCAGAGGCCAAATTTCAAAGTGCACACCAGGGTCCAAGAATTTTCAAAAAAAATTTTGGTATTTTTCTTACGAAATGGTAGAGAATCTTTTTCTGAAGATAATAAAACAAAAAGTACGAAATTTGATGGAAAATTGACGAAATTATGCTCTCGCGAATTTTGATGTGTCAGCGATATTTACGAATCAACAATTTTGCCGACTTTGACTCCCATTTTAAGCCAATTACATTATTCCAGTCGACCAAATTCTTAGCTATTTCATTAGTATTACTTCTATTCTATCGATTGGGCACAAGAAATCGCCAAGTCAACTGTTTCAACTACAAAATAAAGTGATCGGAAATTGGTAATTTGGCTAATTTAACACGAAGTTCAAAATATTCCAATTTCAAAATAGGGTCCAGAATAAACAATGTAGGTATTCCTGGCACTAAACTAACATTTCCTCTGTTCATTAGTTACATTTTGAGGCTTTACAAATGAATTCCATTTTGATTTTTTATTCACATAATTAATTTTTATTCAAATCAAAAAATAGAAGATTTACTGTTATGCAATATTGTAATAATTGTATAAATATCATCACCACATTTGCGAATGTATATTAGACCCACCAGCTGGCGTGTATTACACGTGAGGTCGTTTGTTTACTCTTGAACGTCGGCAAAAATTTAACATTTCCGCTACTTTGAGCTCAGTTTCAAGCCATTTCCAGTGATAAAACCAATCAAAATCATCTCTATTTCTGTAATATGTCTTACATTCTATAAAATGAGACCAAGAAATCGCAAATACAACTATAAAAAACACGAAAAAACACTGCAAAGTTGCTGTTTTAATCGAAAATCACGGTCCGTTTTTTCTCTTATTATACACTATGTGCTGCAGGATTTGTTTTGTGTGGTGCACACATACCATATAGATGTATTCTCTCATATCTAGGCCTAAATTTACCACTCCCAGCTTATCAGAGTGAGCTGAGCTCATGGCGTAGATCTACGGTTTGGACCCTGAAAGGGTTAAGACTGGATCACAGAGACAGCAAAATGAAATGGCTTTATTTTAGAACTTAAAAGGCCATGTGCTGGCTGCATTACATGGTACTGGGTGCATTATGAATTTATACTCTTATTATAAATAATATTTACAGCAGTTATGCATTGTTTGACATTAGAATTTTGCCATAATGTGAGTAACAAATCTCTACTGAATATCCCCCGGTATAATCTGTATAACTGGCCTTAAAGTTGTAGGGCTATCAGTGTCGTCCCCAGTTATCCTTATTCAGTATGCAATGTTTATATTAAATTCTGTTAACTTGTTAGATGGAATTCTGCTTTTTATGGGCTGTTCACAATTTTTAAAAAATTAGGTAAGGGTATTTGATATGAGAAATTCTATAAAAACAGTGGTCAAATATTACCACCCAAGGAGATTCATCTTGAAAATTATGGATTATTAAAATTTTCTTTTTAAAATGTAGGTCTTTATAGCATATGAGCAGATTTTTTAAGTTATCCTGTTATCTTTGATAATAGAAGGTGAGAGAGTTGCTATTTTGATATTAAGAAACGTGAGTAAAAGTGTTAATAACAAGTATCGTGAATGAGTAATGTTTAGTTTACATAACCAATGCAAGAATTTTACACAGTCCAGGCTCAGATCTGTAATATGTCAGTGTGCAAAGCCTTATTAGCTTGTATACAATGAAATTTTGGTGTGACCACAAATATAAAATTTTAGAAGTGTATACAGTAATAAGCTTGGGTTTTCCACTTGAAGCCAGCAAAAATGCCATTGTTTCAACAAGAGCCTGATAATTCTCATGTATAAATACTTAACAATTTGTTAATAATTTTGCATATAGTGACTTTTTTTATTGTTCCAATTAAGCTATTTTTCTCTCATTCATTTTCTATAATAGTAATTTATTTTGATTAAAATAAGTAAACTAAGATGATTTGGACATGGCATATTGAAAGGTTGACACACACGTCATGTAGTTTTTGCTGAATTCTGGGCTGGATATCATACAGAAATGTCATCTTTTTTGGACGTTTGATTATCATCAAAAATACTGATGCAAATGGAGAAATCACTTGGACTCTTATGAAATAGAGATAAGTGATTTATATATTTGGGCCTGAGTCAGACCTGCTTCAGCAACTGAAAAGGTCTTTGATGCTTAAATATACAGATACCTCTTACCTGTGTCTTGTATTTCTGTTCAATAGGTTTCTCACTTTTTTTTTTTTTTTTTTGTACTGACCATCTCCACAACCACATGTCAAACACCCAGTAGTAAATATTTAAGAGCTGTTTTCATTTGTATTTGCAGAAATTTAAAAATGTGTATCAGAAAAGTTTTCTTATTGTATATTGATAAAAATTAAATGGCATTTACTTAATTTACTACATTTTTGAGGGTTGCATTGAAATGGAGAATGTTCTTAACTAACCAATAGTTTGGGGAAGAAACTAGATGACGTTTTCGTCCATCCTGAACTATTAACGACTATTATAATCCAGGGTGGATTTCAGTGTCTAAATTTTGTCTCCAGATTAAAGGCTAGTTAGAAATTATTCTACATGGTATTGCAACTTTAAGGTTTCATTGAGAATGGTTGTTTTGGCTGCCAGTGTAAGTGTTGCTATATAGTAAAGAACATTTTACTCATGAGGTGCTTCCAGAGGTCAGCCATTCTTTTACCTACAAATTTTAATTTTGTTGCAACTAGCTTTTGCATTGATAATTTATGACTATATTGTCATCAGCTTATTAATGTACAGTGACAGGTTGCTTATGGTGATCTCAGGCATTCAGACATATGTACATTGTTCAGTAATTTCCAAATTCATTTATGATTAACACTAAGACTTATTTCATTTTTGTATAATGAGAATCCTTGATTGTCTTGCACGTTTGCTCAGGACAGTGAACCAGGAAGATGGTATGTGTGCCTCATTAGATAAAAAAAAAATATATATATATACAGTGGACCCCCGCTTTACGATCAGCTCCCAATGCGACCAATTATGTAAGTGTATTTATGTAAGTGCGTTTGTACGTGTATGTTTGGGGGTCTGAAATGGACTAATCTAATTCACAAAATTCCTTATGGGAACAAATTTGTTCAGTACTGGCACCTGAACATACTTCTGAAGTGAAATAATATCGTAAACCGGGGGTCCACTGTATGTATATTATATATTATATAATTTTTTTTTTTTTTTATAAATAATTTTTTTCTCTAACCTGTAAGTTTGAAATTACCCTCTGAAGTTAGATATTCAGTCTACATTGTCTAAAGGTGTATTATGAAGCTCTTGAAGGGAACTGAAGAATCTAGCTGTGCAGTTCTTATTTGTACTTTCAGATGCATGAAACTCTTTATGGGAAACTTTGAAGCTAAGTACTGTATAGTCATTGGTGATACTCTTAATTCTTATAAAATATTTTGAGTTTATTATACTGTGCTTGTTCATGTTAAAGTAGTTGGTTATACTAGAAAAGTTGGGTCAAGGGACATACCATGTACAGTTATTTGGGTGCTTGACTGTAGCAACTAATAAGGTGTAGCATTGTCTTGGAAGCAGGATTGGAACTTAAGAAGGATGGAGAGGTTCACTTGTATTATTCTTCCAAGTCCATCAATTAAATCATCCTTACCATTGAAAGGAGGATTTCAATTTACCATAATGCTTTAAACAAGTTTGCCATTGATTCAGTGCTAATTTACTTTTATGGGTCTCTTACAGTAATGCTTAGTTCTGTGGATATTCAGCATTAATAGTTTAGATTAAGTTTTAATTAATTGAGCTCTCTTGCTTCAGTATTAAATATTTCATCATAGTTTTTGCTGTAAAATAGAAATTCTTGTAAAGTTTAGTATACTACTTAACATTCCTTTTAATGTAGGAATGGTTAATTAATATTATTTATATCTTGAAAAGGATTCTCAAAACATGTTAAATGGTATTGCCATTTTTTTACTAGTTTTCTTGGGTAAATTTAGCACCTAACTAGTCTAGGTTTAGGATTAAAATGTATAGAATGTGCATGTACAATTTAATTAGCAGTTTCATGAATATTATAGATATGTAGGAACAGTTTTTACAGTATTTATTTTTATACCATGTGTAATGCAACTCATGGACACAATTCATCAGTATTACAATAATAATTTTTTGGCATTATATCAAACTATATTTTTGCAGTACCTCATATATTCAGAATTACAATAATTAAAATTTGAGCTATTTTTGCTCCAAGTGCTTAAATTTTTTGCAATAGTAGATGTAAATGTGCTATTATGTTTAGAGAATTGTAATTTCTGTCTCCTGAGATTCTTGTTAATCTATACTTGATATTATTGGAAACAGGCATTTGCCAAAATAATGGTAATAAAAGTTGAGGCTGCACTAGCATCATACTATACCGAGTGTTTGATTTATCACATATATTTACAGCGTGTTACTTGGCTCGGCATGTCCAGGTACTTCTGGAAAGACATCTAGAGAATGGGTGATGGCCACTGTTTCCTTCTCTCACCTTATCTTGGTTGGTGAATTAAAAATTTTTTTTTTTTTTTTTGGATTATAGTACAATGAAGACCATCTGGTAGTAATTAATGTGCAGTGAAATGACAATGAGGGGAAAGATTATGGGAATTATTTTTTGCAGAAACTATTTTTTGGACCACACTGACAATATGAATTTTCTGCTTCACTTATTTTGCACTTAAAAAAGATACCTTACATTTGCTGATTTTTTTTTCTCTATGACTACTCCTGTAATTTTTTTTATACTTAGCTACTATTTTCTTAAGAATTTCAACTTTTTCTATGCACTTACTATTTCAAGTTTTAACCCTTTCAGGGTCTGTGCCGTAGATTTATGGCTTTATGTTGAGGGTCCAAACCGTAGATCTACGCCATGAGCTAATCTCACTCTGATAAACTGTGAGCAGTAAATTTGGACCTAGATATGAGAGAATACATCAATGTGGTATGTGTGCACCACATAAAACAAATCCTGCAGCACACAGTGCATGAGAGAAAAAACTGAGACTGTAATTCTCGATTAAAACAGCGAATTTCCAGTGTTTTTTTTTTTGTATGTTTTTTATAGTTGTATTTGCGATTTCTTGGTCTCAATTGATAGAATGGAAGATATATTACAGAAATAAAGATGATTTTGATTGGTTTTAGTACTGAAAATGGCTTGAAACTGAGCTCAAAGTAGCGGAAATGTTAAGTTTTTGCCGATGTTCAAGAGTAAACAAATGACCTCAAACATCTAATACACACCTGCTGGTGGGTCTAATATACATTCACAAATGTGGTGATATTATTTATACAATTATTACAATATTGCAGAACAGTAAATCTTCTATTTTTTGGTTTGAATAAAATTTCATTATGTGAATAAAAAATCAAAATGGGATTCATTTGTAAAGTCTGAAAACATAACTAATGAACAGAGGAAATGTTAGTTTAGTGACAGGAATGTCTGCATTGTTTATTCTGGACCCTATTTTGAAATTGGATTATTTTGAACTTTGCATTAAATTGGCCAAATTACCAATTTCCGATAATTTTATTTTGTAGTTGAAACAGTTGACTTGGCGATTTCTTGTGCTCAATCGATAGAATAGAAGTAATACTAGTGAAATAGGTAAGAATTTGGTTGACTGGAGTAATGTAATTGGCCTAAAATGGGAGTCAAAGTTGGCAAAATCGCCAATGTGTAAATATCACTGACACATCAAAATTCATGAGAGCATAATTTCGTCATTTTTCCATCAAATTTCGTACTTTTTGTTTTATTACCTTCAGGAAAAGGTTCTCTACCATTTCATAAGAAAAAATAACAAAATTATTTTTTTAAAATTCTTGGACACTGGTGCACACTTTGAATTTGGCCTCTGGACCCAGAAAGGGTTAAAGCTGGATGTTGTAAAGATTTTAAACTCTGTAATCTGTCTTTTAACGCTGATCTTTTGTGAGTGGTCATCTATTTGTTGTGAGGGATTGAAGCCCCTGTAGTCACCATGAGCTGCACAAGCAGGGGATAGCCATGGCTGATGATTTCCATGGCAACTGATTGTGGCTGCAGTGACCTTGGTATTTCTAAACAATATATCATTGGTTCTATTTTTTATATGTGTATATTGTAGCTAAAATTTAAAAAATGACAGAAAATGCCTCACTGTTCTGAAATGTCCAAATAAAGAAAAAGTTCTCTTCCCTGATGTGTTTTTCTTGTAGTAACACTTCAAGAAGGGAGGCTTAGTGTGGTCTCCTCTTGAAGTGGGGTTTCTTGATGTGAAGAGGCTCTTGATCTAAGGAACCGGACCTTTCTGTCTTCCTCAGACCAAGCTTTTTACCCCCACCCTTCTCCAATCCCAGCCCCACCTTCCCATTTCACCTTTCCCATCCCACCTTTCCCCACCCCTCCTCTAACCTTCCCTTCCCTCCTGTCGCATCCTGTCTCCTCCCCTCCTGTTTCCTCCCACCTTTCCTCCTGTCTCCCATCCGGTCTCCTCCCCTCTTGTCTCCCATCCTATCTCCTCCCATCTCTTCCCCTCCTGTCTCCTCCCCCTTTTCTTCTCCACCCCTCCTTTTTCCCTTCCCTCCCTTTCCTTCTTTCGGCCTCTGGGATTTTTCCATTGGAAATTATAGCTCATAGGTTGAGGAAAGAGAATCACTGTTCATCACATTTCATTGAGGCTCTGGTGATGGTGTTGTTTACCATAGAATCTGAATCATCTATGGATGCAGTGATTTGCCTTCTAGAGTTCTAGAGGCAGGCTTTAGGTGTCCTCAGTGTGATGGGTGTATCTCCAGAGGCTGCCTGTCGGTTCTGGGAGGTGGCGGGTGACCAAGAGGGGTATGGCTCTGTAGGTTTCTGACTGCCCTCTGTGTTCGTAACGCATTTGCCAATAAATGTGGTTATTGCAGTCTTCTTTAATCTCAAAAAAGCATATGACACTACCAGGCATTATAAGGTTTTAGCCCAAGCTCATTCCTTGGACCTTCAAGGCAGTATACCACTTTTCCTAAAGAATTTCTTGTCTGAGAGAGATTTCTGTGTTTGAGTTAATAATACATTCTTAGCACCACTCTTCGTCTACTCACTGTTAGCGACCTTGCCTTTGCTCTCTCATCTGATACATGGTCATCACTTTGATGATTTTGCTATAGTTTGTGCAGGCACTGTCACCTTGTAACAGCCTCTTTCCAGAATTCTATTAACCATGTTTCCCACTGGGCTACTACTTATGGGTTTAAATATTCTTTTACTAAAATGCATCAAATTACTTTTACAAGATGTTTTGTTGCCCCTAATGCTGCTTTATACCTGTATGGTTCTCATATTCTTGAATGAGATAGTCAGGTTTCTTGTCATTTTGTTTGATCACTAGATGTCCTGGAAACCTCACTTAATCTCTCTAACCCTTTGGGGGTTTCGGACGTACTAGTACGTCTTACGACCCAGAGTTTTTGACGTACTAGTACGGCTAAATTCTAGAGCCCTCAAATCTAGTGAGAGAAAGCTGGTAGGCCTACATATGTAAGAATGGGTCTATGTGGTCAGTGTGCGCAGTATAAAAAAAATCCTGCAGCACACAGTGCATAATGAGGAAAAAAAAACTTTTGACTGTGTTTTTGGATTAAAACAGCAACTTTGCACTGTATTTTCGTATGGTATTTATTGTTGTATTCTAGTTTTCTTGGTCTCATTTTATAAAATGGAAGACATATTACAGAAATTGAGATGATTTTGACTGGTTTTACAATGAAAAGTACCTTGAAATTGAGCTCAAAGTAGCAGAAATGTTCGATTTTTACCGAAGTTCAAAAGTAAACAAATCATGCCAAGCGTCCAATACACATCAACTGGTGAGTCTAATATTCTTTCACAAGTGCGCTGATTTTATTTATACCATTTCTACACTAATGCAGTAGTCTGCATAACAGTAAATCTTATTTTTTTTTTTTTGTAAATAAAAATTCAAAGTGGTAAGCCAAAGAAATATAAGAGGGGCCTGGGGATGTGACTAACAAACAGAGAACTTCTTATTTTAGTGCCAGGAATGTCTTTCTTGTTTATTCTGGACCCTATTCGGAAATTGGCATCTTTTGAAATTTGTGTGAAATTGGCAAAATTTATAAATTCTGACCACTTTATTGGATAGTTGAAATCGGTAAATGGGTGGTTTCTTGTACTCATTCGATAGAAAAAATGGAGTTTAAGCAAAATAGTTATGATTTTTGTCGACTAGTACACTGGAATTGGCCAAAAATAGGGCTTAAAGTGGGCAAAATCGTCGATGCGTAAACATCGTCGAGACCGCTAACTTCGCGAGAGCATAATTCCGCAAGTTTTCCATCAAATTTCATACTTTTGGTGTCATTATGATCGGGAAAAGATTCTCTATCTTTTCATAAGAAAAAATTATTATTATTTTTTTTTTTTAAATTTGGCCGACCCTGAGAACAAGTCTCCGAGAGGACCTGTCGACCCCCAAAGGGTTAAAAGCAGGGTCCCATAGCCTAATGACCCTCCTTAAAGCTCCTGCCCATTTTTCTTGGCTGATAGACAAATTCTTCATCGTCATTCTGCTTCTGTCGTATCGAAATTGGATTTTGGCGACCAGATGTATTCTGCAGCCTTTCCCGCAATTTCTAAACTTTATTCCATTCATCATTAAGAGTTACATTTGTGCCTGGGTGATTTTTGTTCCTCCCTGGCTGAGAGCCTTTATGCAGAGGTGAATATTCTATCTTTGCAAGATTGGAGTGATGCATATTGTCTCCATTATATTGTCTTCTCTCATCATCTTCGTGATCCTTCTACATATAGAATGGTAAATGTTAGTATAAGTCCTCTGTTTGCTTCCCCACTTTACTATGTCCTTTTTCTCTCTATATTCACTCTCTTGTGTTCTCTTCATTTACCAGGTGCCAGATCAACCAAGCTGTGATGGCTATGTAGGGCAGCAGGCTTCCAGCAGCAACAGCCTGATTGAACAGGCTAGCACCAGACAAGCCTGGCCCATGGTCGGGCTCTGGGAGTAGAAAGTCTCGAAACTCACCAGTGGTTTAAAGGTACCCTTTCTGAATGTCCATCCATCTTCTTACTTTTCCCTTCCTTAGAAATTTCTAACTTCCTGTCTCACTCGTGCCATTGCAGTTGACACTGATGCTTGTAGGTCCTCTGAAGGTGTTGGGTTTGCAGCAGTTTTTCTGGACAGAGTTAATTGAAGCCATTTATTTGACTCGGCTAGCATTTTTCACAGCTGAGTTGCTTGCAGTTCTCATGGTTGTTATATGTATTGCATCACTGCCTACCTCAACATTTGTAGTAGTTTCAGACTTCTTTAGTGCATTACAGGCTATCCAGAAATTTGATTCCTCATCCCATTTTTTTTTTTTTTTGTATACAACTTTGGTTGCACTGCATTTCTAGTAAACACAAAGGCATCATTTTATGCATGGTCCCTAAACACATGGATGTTCAGGGCAATGAGCAAACAGACTCTGCTATGCAGCCAGCCATCCATGATCTCATTTCATGTTGAGACATTCTATTCTCAGACTATTTTGCAGTAATCTGTAATAAACTTCACAGGCATTGGCATTAAGGGGTCGAAGTTGATTCACAATAAATTGCATTCTGTTAGACAATGTTTGGGTTGCTGATCATCTTATCAGATCATCATCTTATCACTGCCGTGTTTGGGAGACTACACTCTCCCACCTACACACTAGGCACACACAGCTTTCACATGGAGGTGTCATGGAGAAGCACTTCTTAATAGAGTGTCCTTATTATTAGTGGGCATGCAGAATTTACTGTTGATGTTGTCACTGCCCTAACACTATCTGACCTAGCTGACAGCCCTGCATTTGATGCAGATTCTCTTTGACTTTTTGTCAGCACCTACCTTATTACAATGGCTTTAATTATATTTTCTTATTGGCACTCCCCACTACCCTTGCTAACTCTGACCCTTACACACTTCTAAACCTTACTTGTCTCTGATCTTCACATGTTTCTTCTTTAACATATCCCATCCTGCAGCCCTATATGACTCTTGTGGGTTTAACAGTTTTAATTATAATTATTAGTGTTGACCTACTTAAATGCATCTAATAACTCCAACTGAAAATGTACCACAAGGAAGTGCACTAGCACCACCTTTTTTCTGTTATCGATGATCTTGCTTCAGTTGCTACATAAGAGAATCTGTGGATGCTTTTGCCATTGCTTATGGTGGGATGACTCCTCAAGGCACGTTCCTTGATCCAGTGAATTGGACTTTTTCTCCCCTTGGATGGATCTCAGTTACTACCTGTTCCCAGGCACTGTTTGAATCCTATGGGTTTAATGCTTTGCTCTAATAATTATGCCGGGATGAAGAATCAGCTGATGACTCCCTAATAAAAAGGCCCAGTTGATTGCATGTCTCATTACATTGCCTAAGGGCTGAGACTGTTTTTAACTTTGTATATCCAAAACAAGCTTCAAGGTGCATTATCATTTACCCATTCCATTCCCTCTTCAATGCACTCAAGCTTTGATTTCTTAACTAAAACTAACTTGTTGCATTGACACTTGTTCAGCACATGAGCACACTTCATGCTGTACTTTTTTTTTGCTGTCAGCATCCCTCTGCCATGTTGAAATGTATTAATGTTGGTAGAATTACCAACAATATGTTAAGTAAAAGGATGCAAGTGCAACTAATGTGACATTTTATTGAGGCAACATTTCACATTAGTTGCACATGTGTCCTTTTACCTAACATGTTGAAATGTTTGGCCTACATGAGTTTGGTTTTTTTTTTGGCTAAACATGTTAATAGAGGCCTGGTCACGGACTGGGCTGATGGGTCATTGACCCCCAGAACACACTCAAGGTATATGTGGGGTTGTAAACGAGGTGACTGCTAGGGTGTTTGGAAGATATGTAGCATTCAGTAATGTTGGATCTGATACAAAGTAGGATTTGTCAGTTGCTCCTAACTGCTGACACAGTTATTTTGGGAGACTGTGAAGACAAGGCGCAAAGGTTGGTGAATGAATTTAGGTGGGTATGTAAAAAGTATGAAATTAAAAGTTAACACACTGTAGAAAAGAGCAAGGTGATAAGGCTAACAAAAAAAAGTTCAGGCAAAAATACTGTTCACACAAGCTTGCTGGATGTTGAGGATCCAGCAAGCATGTATGAACATGTTAAGTGTGAATGAAGAAAGTGGTTTTTAATGGACATGCTCTTGGAGTGAGAGCAAGGTAACTTATGAAGGGATCCAGAAAAACTGGTTAACCAGACTTGAGTCCTGGAAGTGGAAAGGGCAGTGCCTGCACTCTGAAGGAGGGGTGGGGATGTTGCAGTTGAAGGGTAATCTGAATTGTGATGTCACTGCACTTCTGGAAAGACAGCAGTTGAGTAAATGATGATGAATGCATTTTCTTGGGTCTCCCTGCCCTTGGCAGGAAGTGGATACTGAGGCGAAAGGGAAAAAAAATATATCCCACAATGCAGATACACTTTTACCACTATGTCTTTAAAGAGTTTTTACTTTTGAGATAGATATTTAGAGTCTGATGTTTTTTTAGGTTAGAAATGGTATACAGTACTGACAGACTAATGAGTAAGATGTGTAACATTAGGCATCTCAGTTGCCAAAACATTTTGCCTGCACAGCAGGCTATATCAGTCAAAGGGTGAAACTTTTCAGCAATAAAGGTACCTAATGTTGCACGTGTTTCTCATTAAACTGATCTTGTTCATTCACACGTCTTAAAACAGTGAGTAGTTCTTATGATGTGATTCATATTGCCATATAACGCTTGTTTTCCCTGTTTTTAGGTGCTTTGATGCTGGTTCTTGATCCAGAGAATTGGAGCTATCCTTCACTTCCTGGGATCAAACCTGACTACCTTCCATTCCTCAGTCCCCAGGCACTATGTGACCCCTACGAGTTTAACACTTTCCTGTCAGTATAATAATATACTCCTTAAAAACAGATATGCTTTATGTATACAAGACAAATGGTTTTGTTGTGGCATAAAACAAAAAAATAATCATTAGTTCCTGTTGAATTCATGGTGTTCATCCTATTTTTATCTTCATGAGGCAAATAGTTCTGTTACAGTCATCTGAGTGGTGTTGTCTGCTCACTTCTGGCAAGAGAGTGATTGAAGGAATGACAATGAATGTGTTTCTTTGTCTTGGGGTCACCCTACCTCAGTGTAAGACAGTTGGATTGTTAAAAAATTATGGCCTCCCTGAAAAGGGTTTTATGATATACAATAGTATCAAGTTGATACCTGGAGTAAAACTGGAGAGAGTTCTGGGGGTCAACGCCCCCACAGCCCAATCTGTGACCAGGCCTCATGGTGGATCAGGGCCTGATCAACCAGGCTGTTACTGTTGGCCACACTCAAACCAACGTAAGAACCACAGCCCGGCGGGTCAGGTACTGACTTGAGGTGACCATCCAGTGCCTTCTTGAAGACAGCCAGGGGTCTATTGGTAATCTCCCTTATGTATGCTGGGAGACAGTTGAACAGTCTTTGGCCCCTGACACTTATTGTATTGTCTCTTTATTGTGTTAGTGGCACCCCTGCTTTTCATTGGGGGGGATGTTGCATCATCTGCCAAGTCTTTTGCTTTCATAGGGAGTGATTTTTGTGTGCACAATTGGTACTAATCCCTCTTAGGATTTTCCAAGTGTATATAATCATGTATCTCTCCTGCCTGCGTTCTAGGGAGTACAGGTTGAGGAACTTCAAGCGTTCCCAGTAATTGAGGTGTTTTATCTCACTTGTGTGCTGTGAAGGTTCTCTTTACATTTTCTAGTCAGCAGCTTCACATACCTTGATAGGTGCTGTTAGTGTGCAGCAATATTCCAGCCTAGATAGAACAAGCAACCTGAAGAGGGTCATCATGGGCTTGGCATCCCAAGTTTTGAAGGTTCTCATTATCCATCCTGTCATTTTTCTAGCAGATGTGATTGATACTTTGTTGTGGTCTTTGAAAGTGAGATCCTCTGACATTATTGCTCCCCTGTCTTTTACATTAGTTTTTCGCTCTATTGTGTGGTTGGAATTTGTTTGATACTCCAATGTAGTTTTAATTTCCTCACATTTTCCATATTGGAGTAATTGAAATTTCTCATAGTTGAACTTTATATTGTTTTCTGAGGCCCATTTAAAGATTTGGTTGATGTCTGCCTGGAGTCTTGCAGTGTCTTCAATCAAGGACACTGTCATGCAAATTCAGGTGTCATCTGCAAAGGAAGACACGGTGCTGTGGCTTGCATCCCTGTCTATGTCAGATATGAGGATGAGGAACAGGATGGGAGCGAGTACTGTGCCAGTCGCTCAGTAGCCTCCTCAGACTTTACTCTGTTTACTACTACTATTTGAGTTTTATTTGTTAGGAAATTATAGATCCATCTACCAACTTTTCCTGTTATATTCCATTGTCATGCATTTTGTGCACTATTACGCCATGGTCACACTTGTCAAAGACTTGCAAAGTCTATGTATACTACACCTGCATTTTGTTTGTCTTCTAGGCATCCAGGACCTTGTCATAGTGGTCCAGTAGTTGGGACAGGCAGGAGTGACCTGCTCTAAACCCATGTTGCCCTGGATTGTGTAACTGATGGGTATCTAGATGAGTGGTGATCTTGCTTCTTAGAACTCTTTCAAAGATTTTTATGATATGGGATGTTAGTGTTATCAGTCTGTAGTTCTTTGCTATTGCTTTACTGCCCCCTTTGTGTAGTGGGGCTATGTCGGTTGTTTTTTGCAGCTGTGGGATGACCCGTGTCCATGCTTCCTCTCCATAGGATGTTAAAAGCACATGATAGGGGTTTCTTGCAGTTCTTGATGAACACTGAGTTCCATGAGTCTGAGCCTGAGGCAGAGTGCATAGGTATGTCATTTATTGCCTTTTCAAAGTCATTTGGTGTCAGGATAATATCAGATAGGTTTGAATCCACCAAATTCTGTCTCGCTCATAAAAAATTCATTTAGGTCTTTGATTCTCAGCCTGGTTAGCAGCTCACTAAAAACCTAGTCATACTGGGACTTCAGTAACTCGCTTATTTCCTCACTGTCATCTGTGTAGAACCCATCTTGTCTAAGTAGGGACCCAATACTGGATGTTAGTTCTCGACATAGATTTGGCATAAGAAAAGAAATTTTGGTTTTCTTTCAATTTCGTTTATGGCTGTTAGTTCTTCCCGCATTTCTTGACTCTTGTAAGTCCTATAGCTTAAGTTCGACGTTTGCTATTTTTCTAACCAGTGCCTCCCTTCATATTACGGATATATTGGCCTCTTTTAACCGCTTCGTTATTCTTTGCCTTTGCCTGTATGGGGAGTGCCTTTCTCTTTCTAGTTTACATATTCTCTTCCTTTTCCTTAAAGGAATATATATGCTTTGAGCATACCTCGAGTGCCAAAGAGTTAATTTTTTCTAGACATAGGTTTGGATCCATGTTGCTTAGGATATCCTCCCAGTTTATATCATTTAGGACCTGGTTGACTTGGTCACATCTTATGTTTTTGTTATTGAAGTTGAATTTGGTGAAGGCTCCCTCGTGACTGATCAAATTTTGTTGGTCCGGGGCCCCACGCATACATGTCTGAACCTATATTATGTTATGATCTGAGTATATTGTTTTTGATATGGTAATATTTTGTATCAGATCATCTTTGTTATTAATAATATGGAAGATTTGGTATCATTATCTTCAATAAAGATTGTGTGTGAAAAGGATTATAGGCCCATGAACACTCATTGCTATCACCACTTCATTCAGTGTGCCTTCATATCTATGCTATGCCTCTTTGCCTTTTCCAGGAAGAGGCCTTGATGCCAGTGAAGGGTTCTTGATGCAAAAAAAAAAATAGTTTAGATATCCCCACATGAAGTAAATTATGCCTCTCTGCTATCACTGTGCATCTGTAAATTCTGTGCCTCCTTCCCTCCCTCCCATAACACAGTATACACCATAAAGATGGGATGGAAGCTAGAGCCATGTGGTTGTTTTCACTGCATGACAGTAGCAACTTGATATGATCATGTGAACTTCAACAGATCCTGACGGGTAATTCATGCGTGTATCACAGATGTTTAGTAATTGTTAACATTGCACCAAAATGCATTTAATTTAGGAATTTGTTGCCACATTGTAAATTAGGACATGTTGCTTCTATTGAACTTAATGTATTACAACTGTTTTCACATCAGTCGCATATGTATGCACACGCCCTGCAATTCAGTTTTGGATTTTCTTTTGAAAATAGTCTCGGTTTATTAATTTAGTAACTATGCAATAACCTCTAATAGATTCAGAGGGCCACAGTAAATCTTCCTGCAGACTATGGGTTATTGACCAATGATCTGCTGTTTTAATAAAATTCAGAAATTGTCCCAGACATATAAGTTATATTGTTGATTTGCTGACTGCCAGCAGACCTGGATATGAAAAGAAAGCCTGATTTGCATAATATTGTATTCACTTTATTGAAAACAAGGCACACGACATTAGGCACATGAGTCTGGTAAATACAATACTTGGGCACTTGTGTCCTGGGTGTCCAGGGTGGTGAGACACCATGCCCTACCTCCCAGCATGCAGAAAATTGTCACTGCAGTCGGTGTCAACCCCAGACATGCCAGCACCTGGGGCTCACACAAGGCCACAGTGTACACAGTATACTCTACACCAGCATATTGGCAAAAATTCATCTACTGCTTATAACTAGTGCTACTACTAGATACAGCCAGTTAGTGAGTAGATGGAGAGACAGAAATAATAAATATTAATAGTAATAAATAATAAACGCTAATAAATAATTTTGTCCATCCACCCTTCAAGGGGGACGAGTGCCTTGATGCTGGTGATCTTATGATGCAAGAAATTGAAACTACTCTACCTTTCCTTAGAGCAAATTTAATCACTTCTCATTTCCCTTGCCCTGTATTACCCCTATGGGTTTAGCCTGTATATGCATAATGAAGCATTAAACCTGTATGGGTCATATAGCATGTGGGAAATGGTGGTTAATTAAGTTTAATCGAAAGGAGAATTATTCTAAATCCTTGAATCAAGAGCTTTTCACTAGGATTTCTCTGCATATAATGATGTTGGTACTTCCCCAACTTTCAGTCGTCTGCACGTATGATCTTTAAAACCAATTAACATTATACCTATGAATTCCCTTTTGAATGGTGGAACTACTGACAACTGTGGAAATGTCACTTCCAGGGAGAAGACAGCATCAACATTCAAGGTAAATACTGTACTGTCACTTTCAGGGAGCAAGACAGTATCAACATTAGTGGTAAATATATACTGTACTGTCACTTACAAGGAGCAAGACAATATCATCATTCAAAGTTTAATACTATCCTGTATTGTAACTGTTTAATTAACAGGTACTATACATGTTCATTACACGTTGATACTATTGGCCATTGACAAGGAACAATATTTCATCAAAAACCCACACTTAGGAAAGGAACCTTTTGCAATAAGGTTCCTCTCCCAAATGCAGGTTTTTGGTGAACTGTTCCAGTCACGGTATTGTGACTTTTTATTCTTTATTGGGTAAATATCTGCCATTAAAAATAGATGAAGTAGAATGTAGAATATTATGGTTTGGGAAAGCATCTTCACTTATGGTGTGGGTGTATCTTTGAGAAAATAATCTGCAAGTTCCATACACAGAAATTTTATAGAGTTTTTAGGAACCCATTGGGGATATGAAGGATCTACTGTTTAGTTTCTCCTTACAAATTTAATGATAATCTATACATGGGCAGCAGTGTAGATAGGCCATTGAATGCAAGCAGAGAAACCAGCTCAGGAGTAAAGGGAGCAGCGTAGCATTGTAATATGTTTATTTCTTATGGTAAGCAGAGTAGCAGTGGAGGTGTGGTGGTGATTGTTCATGGAGGATTGTGGTAGCAGCTGAGGTGTGAGCATCACTGGTATATTCACTAGTCGACCAGCAACTAGCAGAACCAGGAAATTGACCAAGGTAATCAACAGCTACCAGAACCCAGGTTACAAGTGTGTAAATACAGTAAACCCCTCAATATGGACTTTGAGCAATATCCCCTGGGTAAATTGTACTTTTAACTCCTTTATTTCAAATGTTTATTGCATTATATCTGTAAACTGTGTATACAGTGCTATATTAGGTATACAGCAGACTACTTAATTAAGTACCTTTTTTTGCTATTTTTTCATTCTGATTTAACAATCTCCAGGACAATATCTTCTGCTAGTCCGGAGGGAATGGGGGTGCTGCCTTGATGCTAGCAAATGGCTCTTGATCTAAGGAATTAGTACTCAACCCTTTACTAAATCAGATTTGAATACCTTCAATTTCCCTATGGGTTTACCACTTCCCCATTATATACAAAAACAAGTGGTATAGAGAACCCATAGACTTACTAATTGCAATCTGTACACAACCTGGAAAGTGACTAGGGCAGGCAACCAGTACATGACCTAATGACTTGACTAGGCCAACAAATATGTACAAGATATAAAGCAGACTGAGACAGGCTGCAGAACAACCTTGCATTGGCACATCCTTTTGTTCTGTGTAGAGGTTCATCAAATTATAACTTTATAAAACTCTACACAGCTAAATGTTGTCCCAATAAAAGACTGTTCTTTGTGTCTTTTCTTTACTATTGTCTAGAGGCTGACTAGGTCAACCATTACATAACCTGGTCAGAAAGTAGGAACACAATACAGAAACAGACAAGCTCAAGCAAAATTCACAGGAATCGAAAGTTGGTTAAGAAAAAATTTTTTTTTTCAAAATCCCACCAAGCACTTACAAAATTGAGCAGATGACCAGGGCAACTGACAATGAGAAAAAATACAGATCCAATAGATGGCTAAAATATCTGGATGACAATAGATGGGCTGCAGTAAGCAGCATCTAATAAGACAAGGCCCTTTCAGATGCCTTAATGTCAGTGAAGGGCTCTTGATCCAAGGGAGGGACTCTCATGGATCGAACCTGATTACCTCCCATTCCCCAGGCACTGTCAGCCCACTACAGGTTTAGTGATAATACTAATACAGAACATGAGGAACCAGGATCTGTGGGTTAACAAGAGTAATCACCACAGTCCTGACCTGATAACCTTCCAGGACAACCCAGTGCCAGCAGGATCTGCACATCTAAGGCAAAACAGTATCACCTAGACCTGAAAATCTACCAAGACAGCACTGTGAGGGCTTCAATTCAAACAGCACCATCAGAACCTGATGGTCTACAAAACAAACACCACAACCAGAACCTGAAATCTACCAAGATAACAGCACCACCAGAGCCAGAAATCTACCAAGACAACAGCACCATCACAACCTGAAGATCTATCAAGATCACCAGGACCTGAAATCTAACAGCACCACCAGGACCTGAAATTTATCAAGACAACAGCACTAGGACCTGAAATCCACCAAAATAACAGCACCATCAGGACCTGAAGATCTAGAATACAAACAGCACCATCAGAACCTGAAGATTTAGAATAAAAACAGCACCATCAGGACCTGAAGATTTAGAATGAAAGCAGCACCACCAGGACTTGAAGATCTATATTAGCACCACCAGGGCCTGAAGTTCTACCATCATCACCAGGACCTGCAGATGTGCTAGGACAAACAGCACCATCCTTCAAAGTAGGTGCCGGGCTCTTAATCTGAGAAATTATAAGTATCCAGCCTTAGATTAAATCTGATTGCCCCCACCCCATTGTTTTCTCTATTTCTGTGCCTCCTGTATTGTGCCCCACCCTTTTTCCCTGGAATTTCAACTCATTATTGCAAATCCTGTATGGATTTTTCATGTACAGTTTGCAACAAATTTGTTGATGTTATTAAGGTTCGGTTAGATTGTCCTGTCAGTAAAAATTAACCAGTTATAAAATCAGTTAGATAATCACTCTTCAAGACTTGTGAAACAGTCAACCATTTGACTGTCTTAGCAACAGTGAAATACTGTCTGTTAAGAGGATGGTCTGGGAATTTTTTTTGTTTTAACTAAGCATTCTTGAGACCTGAAATGAATTTTAGTTTTGGTATTTTGATCTGTGCCCTAAGGGATCTCCCCATTATTTAAATTGCATTTTTGGCTAATTTGCTAGCATCAACCAGGAATGACTTGGAAACTGTAGCGAATGTACCTCATGAAATCAACCCCTTTCTCTTGTTCTCTTAAACCATGGATTTTTCTATTGATATGCAGGTATTGACTTGGAGTAAATTTAAGATTCTCGCCGTTTCTCTTAAGCTGCCTATAGTATATGCAGTATTTCTGACTAGAGTTTGACTAGGAACAAATTTTGACTGCTGTGAATTGCATCCTATAGGCATTGCTTCACACTTAGTCTTGGAGATTGTACTATATACTTATTGTTTCTGTCACCTTTGCTTTGTTGTACCATTCTTTTGTCACTTGCTTAATTCTTTTGTCATTCTTGTATATATGGTTTAGTGTGTAAGTGCTTGTGAATTTCTTGAAAGAATGGGTGATCAAGAATTACAAAATCCCAAATGAATGATGGTGGGAGTGTTTCTTTTTCAGGTCACCCTACCTGGATTATTATTACGTATTATAATCAAGGGGGAGGTGCTAAACCTGTAGGATTATACAGTGCCTGTCGCTCTTCCCCTGTTGAGAGCCTCTATACAGAAGCAAATGTTCCATCCTTGTCTGATCGCCGTGATGCCCATTGCCTTCGCTACTATGTACGCTCTCACGATCTACACAATCCTTCCATTTATAGAATGGTCACCGATATTAGTAGACATTCTTTATTCATTCTCCGCCCCTGTTTGCTCTGTCCCTTTTCTCTTCGCCTACATTCACTCTTGTCTTCCCTTCAGTTACCACCTTTATATGTTCATGTAGCATCTCACTTTTCCCTACCCCCTGGTGAAGTTCCACTGTTCGGGTCTGTTCTTTCTCACTCCCTTGCTCGAAAGCTCAACTGCCTACGGTGGCTTCCCGCTCTCTTTTTCTTGATCACTTCCACTCCCATTCTCATGCCACCGCTGTGTACACAGATGGCTCTAAGTCTTCAGACGGCGTCGGATTCGCAGCAGTGTTTCCGGACAGCGTCGTGCGGGGGCATTTACTATCTTCAGCTAGCATTTTACTGCTGAACTGTATGCCATTCTTGCAGCACTTATTCATATCGCATCTATGCCTGTGTCATCATTTGTAGTAGTCTCAGACTCCCTTAGTGCTCTACAGGCTATACGAAAATTTGATACATCTCATCCCCTAGTTCTCCGTATCCAACTTTGGCTACGCCGTATCTCTACCAAACATAAAGATATTGTTTTTTGTTGGGTCCCTGGTCATGTCGACGTACAGGGCAATGAACAGGCAGACACTGCTGTGCGGTCAGCAGTACATGACCTACCAATTTCCTATCGAGGTGTTCCATTTCTGGACTATTTTGCTGCAATAGCTACCCACCTTCGCACCCGTTGGCAACAACGTTGGTCAACTCTGCTCGGTAACAAACTTCATTCTATTAAACCGAGCATAGGTTACTGGCCGTCTTCTTGTCATCAGTTCCGAGGTTGGGAGACCACTCTCTCCCGCCTTCGCATTGGCCACACTCGTCTTACTCATGGGTATCTCATGGAGAGGCACCCTGTTCCTCTCTGTGAGCAGTGTCAAGTTCCAGTATTGATTAGCCACATTCTGTTAGACTGCCCTCTCTATCAACGAGCACGCAGAATTTACCTCCAACGTCGTCTTCGTTCTACTACTCTCTCTTTACCTACGACTGATTTACTCCACAAACTCTGATGATACTTTTCGCACTCCCCTCAGCCCTTTCTAGTTCAGTCTCTTGCTGCCCTTTACCCTTTCACCATCCACTACCCCGCTGTTATCCGTAACCTATTACTCGTCCATCTCCCTTTTGCCACCTGATGCCCTCGCTTCCTTCCTGCCCTGCAGCGCTGTATAGCCCTTGTGGCTTAGCGCTTCTTTTTGATTATAATAATAATACAGTGCCTGTGAGGGGGATGTAGAAGGTACTCAGGCTTAATTCAGGGAACTGGAGCATAGATTCAATTCCCTAGATCAAGAGCCCCTCACCAGCGTCAAGGAACCTTGAGGGGCACCCTACCTGGAAGACGGCTGGTGTGTTAAAAATTATTAACAATATTATCATTATTGTACTGTCACTTTTATTATGTTTGCTTTGTTACATTTGCTTTATTATATAACATTAGCTTTGTCACCTTTGCAACCACCAATGTCTCTTATACCATTTGCTTTTTGTCTCCAATTTATTTTTTTTTTGAGTAGCATTTTTTAATTTACCTTTTTTTTCCTACTTATTTACTTCTTTTGATGCTTGTTTTCTCTCTCTCTTTTTTTTTTACAGTGCTGAATGACCCTCTGGGTTTAGTGCATTATAATGGATAAACACATAAACAAAGAGAGGATGATTAGCACTTTATCTTCCAAAACAATCACTACCAGATAAGAAAATCGACTCCCTGACCATCATGACCTGAAGGTCTGCATGCAGTACCTGAAGATATACAAGCACTGCCAGCACCTGAAGATCTATCAAGATGTGAACTTCTATCAGAACCTCACGATTTACCAAGACAACCAGGACCTGAAGATCTACAAGACAAAGCACTGCCAGGACCTAGACACTTACCAAAACCAACAGGTCTGAAGAGACCACCAAGACCATATACTATGGCACTACAGCTGTCACTTTAAAGGTATGACAACAATACTGTTCTTTTAGTCTTAGACTGGATAAGATGATTCACACTGGAGTGCTAAGCTCATAGGGATAGGACAGTACATGGGGGTTCTTAGAAAACAAGACTGTCAAGAGCAAGAAGGAGAACGCCACGAAAAGTGGACAAGTCGGGAAGATTATGGGAGCAAGACTGATGAAAAGAATCAAAAGAGTTAATCAAGGCAATACCAGCGCAAGAGGTAGGTGAAGTGGCAAAGGAAAGACCAAAACCAAGAAGTTCAAGCTCATATTGAGAGAGTGAGACAGAAGACAGTGCTCCTGTTAGTCTTTGACTGGCTCCTCCTCCTCCTCCATACTACCTCCCCCACTACTACTGCTACCTTCTACCTCCATTACTACTACTACACCTCCTGCCTGTATATACCCCTCCCTCTCTCCTTTTTGTTAGTTTGACTGTAAATGGTCCAAGTCGGACCGAAACGTCGTCGTAAGCTCCTCTCTTCTGTGTGTGGGTTATTTGTGTATCGTTCCAGTCACAGTATTGTGCCTTTTTTTGTTATTTATGGACCTCGCAGTTAAGCGTCTTATTCTTTCCTATTTTTTTAATGTTCTTCCTTCTTTTAAACCCCTCTTTCGTTCTCATGAGGTTGCTCTTATTGCTACCAGGTGTCGTAAGAATCAGTTTCGCTTCCTACGTGACTGTCTTGTTGAACAAGTTCTGCCCCCTTCCTTCTCCCATTTCCTGAAACCCAACCCACTGGGTACTCCCCTTCCTGATCATGCCTGTCTCCTACTTCAACAGTTCATTCTTTCTACAAAGTCTCAGGTTGAAGATGCCTTCTTTACTCTCCATCAACGTCAGTGTGCTCTCTTTGCGTCTCTTCCACAAGATCTCTGTAACCTTCTCTCTACCATTACTTTTGACACTGCTCACCTGAATTCACAGATTCATTATTCTAAACTACAGAATAAACTTCGTCTCATCTCAGATAGCCCTTGGTCTAAATTCTCCCTTACTGACTGTGTTACTAACCTGTCTTCTGTCTCACTCTCTCAATATGAGCTTGAACTTCTTGGTTTTGGTCTTTCCTTTGCCACTTCACCTACCCTTCGTGCTGGTATTGCCCTGATTAGCTCTTTTGATTCTTTTCGTCACTCTAGCTCCCGTAATCTTCCTGACTTGTCCACTTTTCGGGGCGCTCTCCTTCCTACAGTACATGGGGAATGGGAAGTAAATGGGTTTTACCCAAGGGAAGGAGAGCTGCAATTCCTGGAAGTAAGAGCTCTTCACTGGCATGAATGCACTCATCTTAAAGGGATGAAGGGGATTGAACTATGCAAGATTAGTACTCTCCTATGGATAAATAATTCATTCAATGTGTGTAAGTGTATGAAAGCACTCGGTTATGTCTATTATTATTTTTAAATTCAGGGAAAAGTTCTAAACCCCTAGGGGCCAAATATAGCTTGGGGAATGGAAGGTAGTCAGTTTTGATGTAACGAAAGGGAGGGTAGCTTCAAATCCTTGAATCAAAAGTCCTTCATTACCAATTCACCTCCCTTGAAGGATTCTGTTTTGTTTTTTCCAACTAATTAAGTATATGTACTGTATGCATATATTCACAGATTTATATTCTGCCTCCACACAACAGTTATTGTGAGGTTTTTTAAAGCTAAGAACATCCTGTATACAAAACACAAACTACAGGAAAATATGCCTAACTTTTAAGCACTTCTTCAAACCATTAGTGCACAGCACCAAAATAACTCATGTTTAAGCCAGCATGTTTCTATTTTATTTGATATGTTATGTCACATTGGCTTTGGACACAGTTATTACCAGGGGAAACTCTTGATCCAAGGAATTCTAGCTATCTTCCTTTTCCTTGGATCAAACATGATTACATCCCATTTCCCATGCACTGTATACCCACCACAGGTTTAGTATTGCCCCAGAAATATAATGATGAGAACAACAATTTCTCTAGAGGAGTCTCTCCCAATTGAAGTCGTCAGTGATTTCTTCATCATCAGAATGTGGGCCTGAGCCAGTGATGAGTCCCACCTGGATAGCCTCCATATTCTCAGCCAGACCACACACCAGTGCTCCTTCTAGTCCATCATCATCATTGGTGGGATTAGTGCTGTGGAGGGCACGGGTGTGCCCCGGGGGCGTCAGAGGAGCAAGCAGGTGAGTCAGAGGCTCTGACAGAGGCTGGGGACTTGAGATGGAAGGTTCTCGTCTCATGATGGTTACTGTTCCACCAGACCCATGGCTGGCAGCACTTACTGTTTCGCTGAGAGATGCCAGTGAGGTGCTGTTCTCTCCTAAGTCACTGTGCCCACTTAAACTAAAACTACCATCCAGAGGCAGCTCCCCAGGACTGCTGGCTTGCTGAGGCGATCTAAGCACATCATCAGGAGGAACAGCATTGGACACAAGTAAAGGATCTGCCACTAATGTTTCAAGTGTCTCTCCTGATGCACTTTGTAGGGGAATAGGTATGCTATTTACTGACACATTTTGAGTAGTGTGCATAGAAGTGGAGAGGGTTGTGAGTGTGGGCATAGTGGTGCTCATGGGCATGGACACAGGAAGTACCCCATACCCATATCCCATACTCCCCACAACATTTTGACTTCCCACAGATGACGTAAAGAGGTCAGAATATTCTTTAAGTAACTCAGGTGTGAGGTTATTGAGAAGATGTAGATCGCACTCTTTCATGGTGATACCATCCACTCCAGCAGGTTCACCTTCCACCACTCCGCCTACTCCCACACTCACAGGCACACTGGCTACTGGTCGACTGTCTAATGCGAACCCTGAAAAAGAAATGTCATTATGGAACAACTGACTTTTCATGACACCCTATAAACACAGCTTTTTCTTGTATACATTGGCAACACTGCATCATTATGTACATGAAAGTTGAATATATAATTGGGTGTAATTTGAACTCACTGGAACTTATTAATACATGTATACTGTATCCTCTCAACATTACTTATTGTGGGCTTCAAGAGGCTCTGAATAAGCAAGTGGATGACTATGGAATTTTAAAATATCTTTGATCTAAAGCTTCTACACCAGCCTTAATGCTGGTGAAGTGCCCTTCATCTGAGTAATTGGAGCTCTCTCCTTGGATCAAGCATTGCATAGCCCTTAACCCTTTCACTGTCAGTGTCGTATTAGTATGGCTTACAAGCCAGTGTTGGTGACGTATTAATACCCAAAAATTCTAGCAGCTTCAGATCTAGCTGGAGAAAGCTGGTAGGCCTACATGTGAGAGAATGGGTCTGTGTGGTCAGTGTGCATAGTATAAAAAAATCCTGCAGTACATGAGAAAAAAAATACAACCGTGTTTCTGGTCTAAAACGCTGACTTCGAGGTGTATTTTCGTATGGTATTTATGGCTGTATTCTCGTTTTCTTGGTCTCAATTGATAGAATGGAAGATATATTAGAGATGATTTTGATTGGTTTCACGATGAGAAGTACCTTGAAATTTAGCTCAAAGTAGTGGAAATGTTCGATTTTTGTCGCTGTTCAACAGTAACAAGTGACATCACCGTCCAATACGTGTCCAACTGGCCAGTCTAATATGCGGTCACGAATGGGTAGACATTATTTATACACTTATTACACTAATGCATAACAGTAAATCTTCTATTTATTGTGTGAATAAAAATTCAAACTGGAAAGCAAGAATAATATAAGAGGGGCCTGCAGACGTGACTAATGAACAGAGAAAATGTTATTTTAGTTCCAGAATTGTCTGCATTGTTTATTCTGGACCCTATTTTGAAATTGGCATCTTTTGAAATTTTTGTGAAATTGCCAATTTCTGACCATTTTATTAGATAGTTGAAATCAGTAAATGAGCAATTTCCTGTATGCAATTGATAGAACAAATGGAGTTCTAGCGAAATAGCTGAGAGTTTGGCCGACTGGAACAATGGAATTGGTTGAAAATAGGGCTCAAAATCGCTGAGACTGCTAACTTTTTTAGAGCGCAATTCCGTAAGTTTTCCATCAAATTTCATACTTTTGGTGTCATTATCATTGGGAATAGATTTTCTATCATTTCGTAAGATTTTTTATTTTTTTTTAAATTCTTCGACACTGAGAGCAAGCTTGTGTGCAGGGTTGTCACTAGTGAAAGGGTTAAAGCTTGAGGATTTCCCCACCAGTATGATGATACACTGCAGCCCTCTAGCAGGTGTGTGTTGCTCACCCTCGAGATCAGAGTTCCACAACTGCTGGTGTTGCGACCAGGGTTCAAGCGTGGCCTGGTGACTCCAGGAGCTGATGAGGGTGCCACCAGGACCTAAGTGGGTGTCAGGCACTCCAGCAGCAGCCATGGCTGCTACTGTGGAGGCATTGACATCTGTCTTGCTCAGGGCAGTGTTGTACGAGGTAGTTCTGTCACTCATCGTCAGATACGGGTTGAACTGAGGAGAAGATGACTTTTAATTTTTGCATATTTTCTTCAAGAATAGACCTTGATACTGGTGAAGGTCTTGTGATCCAAGGAACTGGAGCTATTCTCTCATTCATTGGATAAGACCTAAATACTTTCCATTCCCCAGGCACTGTATGATCATTACAGTGTTAGCACTTCCCCATGTACTTTATACAGTAATGCAATTATAGTATTAATCTTGCATGTCATGTTCATTTGATCAAACATTAACACTGAATTACAGGGGTTCATAGGTTCTATAGCTGAAACACTAAGATCTGTGGAATATTTTCTTTCCTATACTGAGCACTTAAATATAAGTAAACAGGAACTTGGAGTTATACTATACTTCCCTTCAAGGAAGATGGGTAAGGGACTCTTGATTCAAGGAACTGGAAGTGTGAAAAAATTTACATACAAATTCTCAAAAATTTCCCCTTGAAGGTGTTAATACTTGGTAAATGTTTGAAAATCAAGCACTGAATGTTATGCAGGGGGCACAAGCCTTGCCAAATATATATTTCTATAGTTCATCAGGAAGGCTTAAATAACATTTATATAACTAAAAATTATTAAGAGAACATAAGAACACAAGAAAGAAGGAACACTGCAACAGGCCTACTGACCCATGCAAAGCAGGTCCATGTCCCCCCTCCCCATGCTGGATTAGCCCAATGACCCACCTAGTCAGGTCACTTCCACTTAAGGAAGAGCATGGCATCAGACCTAGTAGTACAAGCTAATCAGGTCCAACTCACACCCACCCACACCCACTCATGTATTTATCTAACCTATTTTGAAAACTACACAACATTTTAGCCTCTATAACTGTACTCGAGAGTTTGTTCCACTCATCCACAACTCTATTACCAAACCAGTGCTTTCCTATATCCTTCCTGAATCTGAATTTTTCCAACTTGAAACCATTGCTGCGAGTCCTGTCTTGGCTGGAAATTTTCAGCATGTTATTTACATCCCCTTTATTCTTGTTTTCCATTTATACACCTCGATCATATAATTCTACGCCTTTCGAGAGAGTGCAGATTCAGGGCCCTCAGTCTGTCCTCATAGGGAAGATTTCTGATACATGGGATCAACTTAGTCATCCTCCTCCTCTGTATGTTTTCCAGTGCATTTATATCCATTCTGTAATATGGTGACTAGAACTGTGCAGCATAATCTAAATGAGGCTTAACCAAGGATATATAGAGTTGAAGATGACGTGCCCCCATTCTGATTTCTCCCCATTTATGCAAACTCTGCTGCCTATTTGTCATCCATGCCTCTACCCAGGAAAAAATTTCTCCTTCTATTCCATGTGCCTTCAGTTTCCTCAGTAGCCTCTGATACAGAACTCTATCGAAAGCCTTACTGAAGTCCATATACACAATATCATATTCATTTCCATGATCTACCTCCTCAAACACCTTTGCGAAAAAAGTCAGTAAATTCACAAGACAGGAACACCCCTTTGTAAAACCATGTTGAGATTTATTAATCAATTTATGCCTATCAAGATGGCTATGAATTGCTTTGGCAATTATTGATTCCATAAATTTTCCCACTATGGAGATAAGGCTTATTGGTCTATAGTTCGAAGCTAAGGACCTGTCACCTGCCTTGTAAATAGGTATTACATTTGCCATTTTCCACTTATCTGGCACTATGCCAGTTTGTAGTGATATGTTGAAAAGATTAGCCAAAGGTATGCTAAGTTCCTCTTTACATTCCTTTAACACCCTTGCAAACAGTTCATCAGGGCCTGGGGATTTGTTAGGTTTTATTATTTATTTTTATTATTTTTTTTTTATTATCACACTGGCCGATTCCCACCAAGGCAGGGTGGCCCGAAAAAGAAAAACTTTCACCATCATTCACTCCATCACTGTCTTGCCAGAAGGGTGCTTTACACTACAGTTTTTAAACTGCAACATTAACACCCCTCCTTCAGAGTGCAGGCACTGTACTTCCCATCTCCAGGACTCAAGTCCGGCCTGCCGGTTTCCCTGAATCCCTTCATAAATGTTACTTTGCTCACACTCCAACAGCACGTCAAGTATTAAAAACCATTTGTCTCCATTCACTCCTATCAAACACGCTCACGCATGCCTGCTGGAAGTCGAAGCCCCTCGCACACAAAACCTCCTTTACCCCTCCCTCCAACCCTTCCTAGGCCGACCCCTACCCCGCCTTCCTTCCACTACAGACTGATACACTCTTGAAGTCATTCTGTTTCGCTCCATTCTCTCTACATGTCCGAACCACCTCAACAACCCTTCCTCAGCCCTCTGGACAACAGTTTTGGTAATCCCGCACCTCCTCCTAACTTCCAAACTACGAATTCTCTGCATTATATTCACACCACACATTGCCCTCAGACACGACATCTCCACTGCCTCCAGCCTTCTCCTCGCTGCAACATTCATCACCCACGCTTCACACCCATATAAGAGCGTTGGTAAAACTATACTCTCATACATTCCCCTCTTTGCCTCCAAGGACAAAGTTCTTTGTCTCCACAGACTCCTAAGTGCACCACTCACTCTTTTTCCCTCATCAATTCTATGATTCACCTCATCTTTCATAGACCCATCCGCTGACACGTCCACTCCCAAATATCTGAATACGTTCTCCTCCTCCATACTCTCTCCCTCCAATCTGATATTCAATCTTTCATCACCTAATCTTTTTGTTATCCTCATAACCCTACTCTTTCCTGTATTCACCTTTAATTTTCTTCTTTTGCACACCCTACCAAATTCATCCACCAATCTCTGCAACTTCTCTTCAGAATCTCCCAAGAGCACAGTGTCATCAGCAAAGAGCAGCTGTGACAACTCCCACTTTGTGTGTGATTCTTTATCTTTTAACTCCACGCCTCTTGCCAAGACCCTCGCATTTACTTCTCTTACAACCCCATCTATAAATATATTAAACAACCACGGTGACATCACACATCCTTGTCTAAGGCCTACTTTTACTGGGAAATAATTTCCCTCTTTCCTACATACTCTAACTTGAGCCTCACTATCCTCGTAAAAACTCTTCACTGCTTTCAGTAACCTACCTCCTACACCATACACTTGCAACATCTGCCACATTGCCCCCCTATCCACCCTGTCATACGCCTTTTCCAAATCCATAAATGCCACAAAGACCTCTTTAGCCTTATCTAAATACTGTTCACTTATATGTTTCACTGTAAACACCTGGTCCACACACCCCCTACCTTTCCTAAAGCCTCCTTGTTCATCTGCTATCCTATTCTCCGTCTTACTCTTAATTCTTTCAATTATAACTCTACCATACACTTTACCAGGTACACTCAACAGACTTATCCCCCTATAATTTTTGCACTCTCTTTTGTCCCCTTTGCCTTTATACAAAGGAACTATGCATGCTCTCTGCCAATCCCTAGGTACCTTACCCTCTTCCATACATTTATTAAATAATTGCACCAACCACTCCAAAACTATATCCCCACCTGCTTTTAACATTTCTATCTTTATCCCATCAATCCCGGCTGCCTTACCCCCTTTCATTTTACCTACTGCCTCACGAACTTCCCCCACACTCACAACTGTTAGGTTTTAATTTCTCTATTTGTCTGAGAACCATATCACTAGTTATTGCAATCGTGCATAATTTATTATCGTCCTGTTCTACATAATCTATTATTTCAGGAATTTCGCTAGTATTTTCCTGGGTAAAACCCTAGAGGAAGTAAGTATTGAAAATTTCACACATATCCTTATCACTGTCAGTGATCTGACCTGAGTTGCTCTTAAGTGGGCCTATCTTGTCCCTAATCTTACTTCTGTATACCTGAAAGAACTCTTTTGGGTTAGTCTTTCAATCCCTTGCGACCTTAGCCTCATAATCCCTTATTGCTTTTTATTTCTCTCTTTAATTGAATACAGTGGACCCCCGGTTAACGAACTTTTTTCATTCCAGTAGTATGTTCAGGTGCCAGTACTGACCGAATTTTTTCCCATAAGGAATATTGTGAAGTAGATTAGTCCATTTCAGACCCCCAAACATAAACGTACAAACGCACTTACATAAATACACTTACATAATTGGTCGCATTTGGAGGTGATCGTTAAGCGGGGGTCCACTGTATACAGTGGACCCTCAGGTAACGATATTAATCTGTTCCAGAGAGCTTCTCTTTAACTGATTTTTTCATTAGTCGAATTAATTTTCCCCATAAATAATGGAAATCCAGTTAATCCATTTCAGACACCCAAAAGTATTAACAAAAAATATTTTTTTTTTTAAAGATTAAATATAGATATACATACAGAAAACAATGACAAATAAATATAAAACCCTAATAAAATGGATAAATGAACATTTAACATCACACTTACCTTTACTAACTCTTGTTGGTGTATGGAAGACAGGTAGGAGGCAAAAGGAAGGCGAGTTTATTATGCTTCAATATGATGCTAATGTCATGTCTCCATCTTATTTATCAATCATAATTCATCTAATATGACATAATAACCAATATTAACAACATAGAAACATGTTATATACTCTAGAATGAATAAAATGGCTTATTTAGCAGTTACAAGCCCTAAAAACAATGAATACAAAATATATCGCATGTACGCGTGGAATTGTCCTCACTGGCTGTACATGAAGTCATGGAGTGGCCGAGCCTCTCAGGCTGCATGGACACATTCGGGACGAATGTCTTTAGCCGAGCCAGTACACTGTATTTTGACACAAAAACGTGTCGCTACCCGATTTTTTCATTAGCCGATGACATCATTACACAAGGGTCCACTGTATTGATTTCATAACTGCCCATCCCCTCTTTTGATACGCCTATATATGCTTCTTTTTTGACCAGTGAGATGTTTTAATCTATTGTTCATCCATTTGGGATCATTTTTGTTAGATCTAATTTCCCTACTCGGAACAAAAGTTGTCTGGGCAGCTAGAACTATGCTCTGAAAAACGTCATATTGGAAACCAAGA